GTTTTCAAACACTTGAACTAAAAATCAACCAAATTATTTTTGAGAATAACCAAAATCAATAATTTTATGACCAAAAACCATTTAGCCAAAACCACATATTATGGTAAGGTAAGCAAATGATGGTCTAATCTGCTAACACCATGCGCTCCACGCGTCACACCAGTAGCCATAAAAGCAGGTAGAAATACAAAAACAGGACTTCAGATGATGCAACTAATTAATTCCATTGGAAACAAAATCAAATATCGCATTTTAAGAACATACACAAATGTCTCCTCTATATTGTCGGTACACACAAGCAACATATCCAACATATTGCAGAGTTAAGTTGAATTATCTGAATAAATGATGCGTACTATGTACATAACGACTGATTTGTTTAAGGTATTGTTTAGTACTGGTCTAATACGCTATAGTTGTAGTTTTATTATTATTATTATTATTATCTTAAAAGTATTATAACATATTAATAAAAATATATTGAAAAAATATTTATATTTTTGAATAAATTGCTAAATGAAAATATCTATATGAAACATGTTCAAACGAAGTCCAAACTTATATGGAATGTTGTCTAAACCATTAGATGATACAGTTTTTAAAAAATTATTAAAATTCATGAAAATATAATTATTACCTTTTGAAAATTCACGATTACCTTTTATTAAAAACATTTCATGTTTATTTTTTGTTCTTGTTAAGAATGAAATAATTCTTAACAGAGACAAAATTAGTAAAAAAAAAAAACACCTTTAAAATTATGTTTAAAAGAAAATTTAACAAATAAATTGGACAACTGATAGCAAAAAAAATTTGAACCACCCATTGTTAGAATTTAGAAAGTGTAAAAACAGACTTAAGTCCTATTAGTCATGTGATCTTATAATAAAATTATTTATATTTTTAACCACGTATTTAAATTTTAACCAAAAAAAAAAATAATAAGGGACTTGAAGTGGTATTTTAACTTCGACTAAAATAGTTATTCTAAATAGAAATGAGTGTGACAGTTCAAATGAGAGCATCTATTTCTTTTGTTGTAATTGTTGATTTTACAATTATTACCGTCACTGCCCTGGTTTTATTCAAGAATTTGGAGCTTCTCTCACAGCACTCACCATCTGCCTGGTTTCAACACCGAGCACCATTGAAGAACGTGTAAGAAGTGATGCTAAAATTTTTGCCAAAAAGAAAATCCCTGCTGAAATTGTTTGCTCCTGCAACCGATCTTGTTTCAACAAATCCCTTTTATTGGACCCGTGTAGGATTCTAAAATGCGACTCTATTATCAAAAAAATTGAGAAGATAAAAGACTCCTGAAGTAATTATCACGCTTACTTGTATCCTATATAAGAAATGCAAAGAAAGCAACACCCAAGGACACAAACAATTTATGGAGCACGCTTCAAATTGATCCTAAACACTGTTACTATTAGACAACAAATCAGATAGTACAAGTTAGTCAAGAGATTCTACAAATCTAAAGGCATATGGTGTCATGGGTATGAATGAAGCATACGAGGTAATGAAATTATCTCTGAGGATGTGTAAAACAATCACTCAGAACATATGGGGTTGAGTAACTATAAGATCTTTAATGGGCTGCCTGGCTTTGTTTCGAGAAAATTGATCCAAGCACTCTCTCAGATGTTTATTCTTTATGAGCAGAATGGATCACAACCGAATGAAGTCAGCAATCTAACTGGCTAATAATCCCGTCCTTCGGCATTTCCTGCAACAACAGTTTCAAGTCCATAGGAACCATAGATGCACGATTTTCTATATGTAAAAACAAAAAGTAACTCTCCAGCAACGCTAGACAACATTTTTTTCCCTCTCCCCTAAAACCGAAGTAAAATCCACACTTGAGAAAAAGAACATTTTACATTTACAGAAAGACTAGTTTAGAAATTGTCATTTACTACAAGAAGAAATAGTAGTTCTTTCCAAGTATTGAGACAGATAAAAGATTTAGAAATACCAAGTAACATAAGTCGGAAATGAACAAACAAGTTTATTCACAAATTCAATGCAATGTCAAAATACTTACAGGTTGGTAGCTTGGCTAGACTGCCCAAGAAACATTTGCTGCTGCCCATACTGGAATTAGAAGAGCACAGATAATTAATACAGGTAAAGATACCCAAATAATGATAGCAAAGTCAGCAATCAGGTTCTACCTGAGGTCCATTTGGATGAAAGCTTGCGTGTGGTGGCTGTATTGGTGCCACTGTCAGATTAAATATAACAGGCTGGTGTGCAGCAAATGACGGTCCAATCTGCAAATACCATGCATCGCCAGTAACCACAAGCAAGTAGAAATAAAACGAGACTCCAGATAATGCAACTCATTTTATTGGAACAAAATAAAATCTCATATTTAAGAACATACAC